AAAAAAAAAAAAAAAAAAGAAAAGAAGAAGCACCAGACTAGGGGTAAAGCTCTAAGCACTTCCTGTGTCTTGGTGTTAGTAAATGGTAAATACATTCTTCAAAAAGTTTTCACTGAAGCGTACAGTACTGAGTCCTCTGCCTAACTATAAACAGTTATATAGATGCTGGAAATCGTGTAGTAAAATAAGCCATAACCATAGTTGTAAAAGAAAACTGCTAACCTAAGATGTGAACAAACTTACTAGGTTTCAGTGTTTTTAAAGTGTTTGGTTAATGATAAGTGTATAACTGAAGTGAGTTTGAGGCTTTAGTCAGTATTTTGTAGAATAATCAGTTTAGAGTTATTCAAAATATTGACGATTTACTTCAAACAAAAGTACATTGACTTCTTTTAAAGCACTTACAACATACGTCTTTAAAATCCATGTCAGTGAGTTCTTCTGACTAGAGCTTTACTCCCACAGTCCATGGTAGGCACTGGATTCAACGCCATCTGGTGTGACTGGATCACCACTTCAAAAGTTCGTTATGTTGACAGGTTTAAAATTGAAAACTGCCAGGCGCGGTGGCTCACGCCTGTAATCCTAGCACTTTGGGAGGCAGAGGTTGGTGGATCACCTGAGGTCAGGAATTAAAGACCAGCCTGGGCATCATGGTGAAACCCCATCTTTAAAAAAAAATTTTAAAAAAAGAATAAAATTGAAAACTAAAGCTAATACACTGTGGTAGAAACATTTACTATAAATTGCTGGTAATACAGTCAGTCCTTGCTATTATACTACTATTAACATAGCATTTCTAATGATAAACAGCATTTGGCTTTTACTTGGTTTTCATCACTGATAGAAGATAGTTGATCCACTGCACCCCAAAATAAATGTCAGTGTTCCCCCTTTCATTTCACATTTAAGAGGGCAGTGGCAAAGAGAATAAGCCACTCCTATGTTGTTGTCTTGGAGAAGAGGAAACAAAGATTTAGATGATGATCTTAAAAGATTAGATAACATGTGTATATGGCTTTCTTCATGTCGGTGAGGTTGTAGCAATTAGGATAGAGATGATATGTACCTTTTCTACGTGTAAGACAGAAAAATTGAGATAAATAACTACCTAGAATAATACCCCAAAGTAGAAGATCATAGACACTGAAATAGAAATAAGGGAAGTTGTCCAGATGTGTTTCTGGGAGAATGGAGATACTTTTCACCGGTCCTGTGCAGTGATAGAACTTCCTGTGGTGTTGGAAATGCTATCTCCACTGTCCAATTTGGTCACCATTAACCACATATGACTTTGGACATTTGAAGTGTGGCCAGTGCAACTGAGGAGGTGATTTTTTGTTTTGTTTTGTTGTAATTAATTTACTTTTCAATTTTTTTTTTTTT